TTTCGTCATAGAAAATCCAGGGGGCCTCTTGTTTCATTCAGCTATTCAAAGATGATGAAGCAAAGTAATAGATTGTTTTCTTCTTCCTTTGAACAAGGAAGAACCATGAAGACACAGTTAAAAAACAAGAAAAATAAAAAACAAATTGCAATATCCAAAAGGCATTCTGTATTATGGAAAAAACTCTGCCCACACAGTGTGCAGAGCCTCAGGGCTTGGGCAATCCTAAAACCTCAGATGCACACTGACCCTGCCTGGATGTTGCTATAAACTGGAAAAGTGCGCTGAGCATAGGCATAGAATTGGGACCCCAGGCAGCTTTGGAATGTTTATGGTTAAGAAGAGAAAGAAGGTGTTCTAAAATGTACCCGGGATTTGTTTTAATCAGGTATGGTGAAGTGACACTGCCTTTGAAAGAAGAGTTTATTGCTTACATTTCCCAAGAGAAGGGGGCTTGACACACCACGCAGGACCACGTGGGGAAGCACTGAAGTGGGTGGGTCAGGAGGCAGAAGGGGAGAAGGAAGAAGTATGACCAGAGATTTTTTTGTGGTTTCTGAGGGAAGGAATGGGCAAGGCAGGGTTGTCAAGTTTGAACAAGAGTAGAATTGAATCATTTGAATAATTTGTAGGGCTATGGGCTGTTGGAATGGTCTCCAGTTGTCCAGTATCTGATTTTGAGGGCAAGGAAATTGGTTTGGTGTGTGAGTTAAACAAAGGAGGTGGCCAGGGACAGGGTCTTCGGATGGGTTAGTGTGCATATGAAAGTTAAGCTCATGGAAAAGTTGTTTGCTCTCTCTAGGAAGCAGCTCATCCTGGAGGGGCCGTCTCTCCCAAGCCAGCAAGGGCGGCCAGAGATGTCAAAGCAGATAAAGATCATGATTAATACAAAAGGCAACTATTAGGCAAGTTGTTCTTTGGTGGAGTTAACCAAAAACAAAATATCATGGTAGAACTGCTCTTTAATATTCATTAAGTCTTAGGAAAAAAAAAGAGGAAATCTATACAATCTCTGGATTTTATATGTGGTTCTGTCCCAAACATTGACCAATGCTGGTAGAATATATTACTGAACTAATAACCTAAATCACAGAAGTACAGTTAAGTTCAGGAAGTTTTACATTATTGTAAGGATAGATGGACGCTTTGCCCTCCTCCTCTCCAATTTAGAATGTATATATGGATAGAGGCAGACATTGGAATGAGGCTGCCACCAACCAAGGAATGCCTGGAACCACCAGGGCTATAAAAGGCAAGGAAGGATCCTCTCCCTACAGCCTTCAGAGGGAGCATGGCCCTGTGGACACCTTGATTTTGGACTTCTAGCCTCCTGAACTGTGAGAGAATAAATTTCTGTTGTTTTAAGCCAAAACAAAAAAAAAAAAACTGTACATATGTACACATTTCTTTCTGCATTAACATTTTTTATTTAAAGGTATATTACTTTTCCAATAGCAGTTTTCCTTCTTTTCTAGGCTGTGGTTTAGTTGAATAGAATAAAAATTAACATGTGTTTATCAGCAAAACCTATCAGAGTAGCTAGAAATTGAAAACAATCTAAATACTCAAAGCTAAGAGATTAAGTAAATGATGAGATATCCATACAATGAAACATGAAACAGGTATTTCAAATAATGTTGCTGAAGAACGATGAATATTTTCAATACACTTAATGAAAAATGTAAGTTACAAAATTCTGTGTTCTATGTGATCTGCTTTTCTGTAAAAAAAAGTATTTACATGCATTAAAAAAAAAGAGGCTGGGAGGATACAGAGAATGTGCACCAAGATGGGATCCACCGTAGATAAGGGCTGTGAGATTATAGTTGATTTATTTTCTTCTTTCTCCATATTTATATTCTTAAAATTTCTATAAGTATGTATTATTTTATAAAAATGAGAAAATAATGGGAAAAGATGAGACAATAAAAATATTTATTTTTATTTTATTATACTGGAGTTTCTTTTCCCAAAGAAATTTTCTCCTACTGCTGGTTCTGCTGGGTCACAAGGCTCCAGTGGCAGGGCAACCAGGGTCAGCTGGGGTCAGAGCCTAGACCTTCTGCAGAGCCATTTCTTATTCCAGGTCCCATTCAAAACTGTTGCCCTATGGGATAGGCCTCCAAAATCCACAGAAGCTCACCAGTTCTTATTGGTGAGCAAGGCGTGATGCAACAACACGTCTCTCACTGTAGAAAGAATATCCCCAAATACCCAGATCACTGGACTCTGGAAATTCACCAAGATGGCAAAGCCCTAATCTTTCTCAGTATTTATTTTTCATACCGGGGCATGCAAAGGCATCAAAAGAATTTTCTACTTCTTGATCACCAAGTCCCATTAGCATAATTCCAACTACTATGGGAATATCAAAATGGCCACTATTTCTCCAAACTATACTGTGATAGCAAGAGAACTGACATATACGGGATGGGATATATATTCCAAACACCTTGGACAATACACCATGCTGCCGAACCATGGCTGAGTCTACCCAGCACGTGAAATCTGGAATCCTGTAAGAATGCTCCAGTGTTAATCAATTCAGGCCAAAAGCGCCTTAAATAGTGTCTTATTTGGTCTAACACCTTTAGAATCCACTCTCATGTATGTTCCTCAGACTCTTGCCAAGCCTGATCAGTGACATCTTGTAACTCTGTATAAACTCTCTCTTCCAAGCCTGGCCTTTGTGCCTCTCAGTCAGGGCTCTGTTGGATTTTAACTCTTGGTACAGGCCTCAAGGCAATAAGTGGTAACATTAGTTTAGGAGGCAATCACCAGATGTTTCCATTTTAAAGGCTTTTAGCAGAGGAAGGCTTATTCCCTCGGAGACGGGTGAGGTTTTCTCTGCTGGCAAGGGAGTGGAAGGGAATTTAAAGGTTCCAAGTTCTCAGCCTTGTCCTAATGTCTTCAAGCCATGGCTCCTGTCCCACTGGAGCCCCACGAGTGCCCTTACCCTAGGCTAAGAAGCCTAGCAATTTAAGCATTTAATTGACTTACAATTCTTCATCCTTTACCCCTCAGCTGTATCAACCCTGAAGTTAGAAGGGATGGAGAATTCCTTCAAAGCTGTGTGGAGGGCTTCTGGTTCCCTATGAGTATTCTTAAGTCTATGATCATAGCTTTTCATTTCTCTCGTACTGTCTAGGGTTCTCAGAAGCCAAGTGACTCCACAGTCTTTACAAACACTACTGTCACTATAGCAACTAAGTCCCACGGCCACTTGATCTCCCCCCGCCTTTCCTGCCACCTGCACTTCACTCCTGGATACCACGCAGTGATGACTGGAATAGTCATGATGCCACTCCAGGCCACGAACTACCCACGGCCCATGCTCCCCTGACCCCTGTCAAGGAAGTAATCTCTGTGCTCCTTGAACATACACACAACCCAATCCCCAAATCTGTTTCAAGGATCTGTTTTCTATGTATAAAGAGAATGAATATAAATTATAACTGGGTTTGTCCCTTTGTTCAATAATCCCACATAGAACGCCAGAATTAAACACAGATGGCAATTGTCCCCTCATTTTACACGGGCTGGATCATATTACATCATTTTTCAGTCTAAAATCTCTAATCTGTCACTCCCTGGCTAATGTCTCTTCTCTCTCCATGCTCACTCGACTATTAATTAAGCATTTCCTTGGGGGTACTTAATTCCTTGCTTTCTACCTGAAATAGAATATCAGTGTGCTGCTTCAAACAAAGTCAATGCTTTTTCCAAGAAGAATATGAGTGGATTCAATTTCTTTTGTTATTTTTGCAGCCCCAGCATGTAGCTCAATTGTGGCCTCATAAAACGACCTCTTGTGATATCAAAATTATCGTAACAATAATCTTTACGTTTTGAATGTTTACTATATGGTTTATATACCTTGTCTCATTTAATTTTCACATCAATTCCATGTGGTATACACCATTTTAATCCCCCCATTTATCCATGAAGAAAACTGAGGCTTAGAGAGTTTAACATAAGTAACATCCTCAAGGTCACACAGCTGGTAAGTGAAAGAACCAGCTCTTGGACGCTAAAGCCACAAGTCTCCATGGCTTCTTTCAGTAGTGTTTACAGAATGAAGAGCCAAATGACGAGCCCCAGTAAATGTTATCCGTAGCATTTCCACATTATTTTACTGACCCCGAACAAAATTTCCTGGAATTATCACTAACCCTTTATATCAGACTTCACTCTTACATCCCCATCAATGGTGGCTTGTTAAACAGAAACCAACTCTGGCTAAATTTACCAAAAATAAAGGGATTTGTTGAAAGGTCAGGTTAGTCCACAGAATTTAAGCAGCAGCTGACCAGCAAATCTTGGAAAGGACAGAATCCAGGCGAAGGCAGGGAATAAGGTAACAGGAAGTAGTAGACAGACTCCACCGTTGGGATGAATCAGCTTCAACTATTTTCAGTCCTTGTGTCACTCTGCTTCAAGCCTCAAATTCCAGGGAGAGTATGACTGACATCATCTGGATCCTCTGTCCAGCCCTACGCCAGGGGATGGGGGTGGAGGAAGGATGGGGCACTGTGATTGGCAGCTCCACCAAGACGGCATTCCAGAAAGGAAAACAGAGGGGAAGTAACCAAAAGAAGGCTTCGCGGGTGCTAGGCAAGCAAGTGCAAAAGGTCTGCTGCAATGACTTTAACACATCCATGATCAGAGAGAAAGATTTATACTCTTGAAAATATAAAAAGAAATGCACATAGAGGCAATTGATAAAGAGTCCAAAACATTTAGAGCACTGTTTCTCAAAAGGACCACTTTTTTAAAAATACATAAAAGATTATAAAACAAACACCCTCGTGGATCATCTAGTGTTGTCTTCAATTACCTTTTTACTGCAATGTTACTTAGATGTGTACCAATATAAAACTAGGGGTAAAAACCTTTGGATTTATAGCACTTATAAAATTATAAAGCCACAACAAGGTTTAACACAACAAGCCACTCAATTCAAACAAAATGACAAAACCAATATAATTCAAATTACTTACCTAAGTTTAACCTGACAGGTGATATTTTTCTGAAACTGAGCCGCGACTCCCGACGTGAACGTAGTACTGATGGCTATACTGCGGGCATCCTGGAGCTCAGCATTGCTATGCCACTGCGTGCCTTATGATGACTCGATTCCCCCAACATTTATCCCTTCAATCCACTGGAAAACCTTGCGACAGCTGGGCCAGTTCATTACTTTGCCTTCGTTTGGTGTGAAAATATCTCTCCCTATCAGCCCATGATAATTAGAGTACTGTTACTTGCTGTTAATGAATTGAAAACCCAAATGCAAATAGAGGTGTAACAATTCTTGGCACTTCTCAGTTATGAGCTGGTCACTCAGATGATCATAACTGAGTGCTGATATGAAATTTTTGAGGTACCTTAGAAATATAAATGCGACTTTTAAACTATCTATTGGAGGATCTGAGACTATGTCCTTGGAACCCCAGGAATCATGACCCCCAGTTTGAGAAAAAGTGGTTTAGAGCAATGGCATCCCCCTTAGTATAAATGTGTACCCTCCTAAGATAAACCCTTTGAAGGGTATGGCAATGATTTGCTGCTATAAATTCCTAGATAGGTATTTGGTGTAAAATTTCCACATGCATTCTGATAGTTCTTAGGCCCTTGATATTCTGCAAATGTATTTTAAAAAGAAAAATACCTTACAGCCTTCTGATAATCTCTATTAAGTAGGTGAAAGCTCTACTTTCCATGAATATATTAATATATATTTTTCAAATTGTATAAAAAAGCATGTAAATTGAATCCATGAGTACAGTTTAAGATTCAGACCATTCTTCTAGTTATGAAATTGCTAATAATTAGCTATTCTCCTGAGTAAATGCACATGTGGAGAATTTCACTGACTAGTGATTGTGAAACACAGTACTTGATTTTGAAATATTTCTCATCCAGTAAGATTAAATGACATTCTGCTCTATTTAAAAAGATCAACTCAACATAACCAAATATTTTTTCATAATATTCTTCTTTTCATCTTGTTTATGGTTTCCTTTGTTGTGCAAAAGCTTTTAAGGTTCATTGGGTCCCATTTGTTTATTTTTGTTCTTATTTCCATTTCTCTAGAAGGTGGGTCAAAAAGGATCTTGCTGTGATTTATGTCATAGAGTGTTCTGCTTATATTTTCCGCTAAGAGTTATATAGTGTCTGGCCTTACATTTAGGTCTTTAATCCATTTTGAGTTTATTTTTGTGTATGGTGTTAAGGAGTGTTCTAATTCCACCCTTTTACATGCAGCTCTCCAGTTTACCCAGCACCACTTATTGAAGAGACTGTGTTTTCTCCATTGTATAGTCTTTCCTCCTTTATCAAAGATAAGGTGACCATAAGTGCATGGATTTATCTCTGGGCTTTCTGTCCTGTTCCATTGATCTATATTTCTGTTTCTGTGCCAATACCATACTGTCTTGATTAATGTAGGTTTGTAGTATAGTCTGAAGTCAGAGAGCCTGATTCCTCCAGCTCCATTTTTCTTTCTCAGGATTGCTTTGGCTATTCAGGGTCTTCTGTATTTCCATACAAATTGTGAAATTTTTTGTTCTAGTTCTGTGAAAAATGCCATTGGCAGTTTGATGGGGATTGCACTGAATCTGTAGATTGCTTTGGGTAGTAGAGTCATTTTCACAGTGTTGATTCTTCCAATCCAAGAACATGGTATATCTCTCCATCTGTTTGTATCATCTTTAACTTCTTTCATCTGTGTCATATAGTTTTCTGCATTCAGGTCTTTTATCTCCTTAGGTAGGTTTATTCCTAGGTATTTTATTCTTTTTGTTGCAGTGGTAAATGGGAGTGTTTCCTTAATTTCTCTTTCAGACTTTTCATCATTGGTGTATGGGAATGCAAGAGATTTCTGTGCATTAATTTTTTATCCTGCTACTTTGCCAAATTCATTGATTAGCTTTAGTAGTTTTCTGGTAGTATCTTTAGGATTCTCTATGTATAGTATTATGTCATCTGCACACAGTGACAGTTTTACTTCTTCTTTTCCGATTTGGATTCCTTTTATTTCCTTTTCTGCTCTAATTGCTGTGGCTAAAACTTCCAAAACTATGTTGAATAATAGTGGTGAGAGTGGGCAACCTTGTCTTGGCCCTGATCTTAGTGGAAATGGTTTCAGTTTTTCACCATTGAGAACCATGTTGGCTGTGGGTTTGTAATATATGGCCTTTATTATGTTGAGGTAAGTTCCCTCTATGCCTACTTTCTGGAGAGTTTTTATCATAAATCAGTGTTGAATTTTGTCAAAAGCTTTTTCTGCATCTATTGAGATGATCATATGTTTTTTATCCTTCAATTTGTTAATATGGTGTATCACATTGATTGATTTGCTTATATTGAAGAATCCTTGCATTCCTGGGATAAACCCCACTTGATCATGGTGTATCATCCTTTTAATGTGCTGCCAGATTCTGCTTGCTAGTATTTTGTCGAGGATTTTTGCAACTATGTTCATCAGTGATATTGGCCTGTAGTTTTCTTTCTTTGTGACATCTTTGTCTGGTTTTGGTATCAGGGTGATAGTGGCCTCATAGAATGAGTTTGGGAGTGTTCCTCCCTCTGCTATATTTTGGAAGAGTTTGAGAAGGATAGGTGTTATCTTTCCTCTAAATGGTTGATAGAATTTGCCTGTGAAGCCATCTGGTCCTGGGCTTTTGTTTGTTGGAAGGTTTTTAATCACAGTTGCAATCTCAGTGCTTGTAATTGCTCTGTTTATATTTTCTATTTCTTCCTGGTTCAGTCTTGGAAAGTTGTGCTTTTCTAAGAATTTGTCCATTTCTTCCAAGTTGTCCATTTAATTGGCATATAGTTGTTTGTGGTAATCTCTCATGATCCTTTGTATTCCTGAAGTGTCAGTTGTTACTTCTCCTTTTTCATTTCTAATTCTGTTGATTTGAGTCTTCTCCCTTTTTTTCTTGATGAGTCTGGCTAATGGCTTATAAGTTTTGTTTATCTTCTCAACGAACCAGCTTTTAGTTTTATTGCTCTTTGCTGTTGTTTCCTTCATTTCTTTTTCATTTATTTCTGATGTGATCTTTATGATGTCTTTCCTTCTGCTAACTTGGTGGGGGGGGGGGTAGTTCTCCTTTCACTAATTGCTTTAGCTGTAAGTTTAGGTTGTTTATTTGAGATGTTTCTTGTTTCTTGAGGTAGGATTGTATTGCTATAAACTTCCCTCTTAGAACTGCTTTTGCTGCATCCCATGGATTTGGGTTGTCATGTTTTCATTGTCATTTGTTTCTAGGTATTTTTTGATTTCCTCTTTGATTTCTTCAGTGATCTCTTGGTTATTTAGTAGCATATTGTTTACCCTCCATGTGTTTGTACTTTTTACAGTTTTCTTCCTGTAATTGATATCTAGTCTCATAGTGTTGTGTTTGGAAAAGATACCTGATATGATTTCAATCTTCTTAAATTTACCAAGGCTTGATTTGTGACCCAAGATATGATCTATCCTGGAGAATGTTCCATGACCACTTGAGAAGAAAATGTATTCTGTTGTTTTTGGATGGAATGTCCTGTAGATATCAATTAAGTTCATCTTGTTTAATGTGTCATTTAAAGCTTGTGTTTCCTTATTTATTTTCATTTTGGATGATCTGTCCATTGGTAAAAGTGGGGTGTTAAAGTCCCCTACTATGATTGTGTTACTGTCGATTTCCCCTTTTATGGCTGTTAGCATTTGCCTTTTGTGTTGAGGTGCTGCTATGTTGGGTGCATAAATATTTACAATTGTTATATCTTCTTCTTGGACTGATCCCTTGATCATTATGTAGTGTCCTTGTCTCTTATAATAGTCTTTATTTTAAAGTCTATTTTGTCTGATATGAGTATTGCTATTCCAGCTTTCTTTTGATTTCCATTTGCATGGAATATCTTTTCCATCCCCTCACTTTCAGTCTGTATGTGTCCCTAGGTCTGAAGTGGGTCTCTTGTAGACAGCATATATATGGGTCTTGTTTTTGTATCCATTCAGCCAGTCTCTGTGTTTTGGTTGGAGCATTTAATCCATTTACGTTTAAGGTAATTATCGATATGTATGTTCCTATTACCATTTTCTTAATTTGGGGGGGTTTGTTATTGTATATCTTTTCCTTCTCTTGTGTTTCCTGCCTAGAGAAGTTCCTTTTGTTGCAAAGCTGGTTTGGTGGTGCTGAATTCTCTTAGCTTTTGCTTGTCTCTGGAATCTGAATGAGATCCTTGCTGGGTAGAGTAATCTTGGTTGTAGGTTTTTCCATTTCATCACTTTAAATATGTCCTGCCACTCCCTTCTGGCTTGCAGAATTTCTGCTGAAAGATCAGCTGTTAACCTTATGGGGATTCCCTTGTATGTTATTTGTTGCTTTTCCCTTGCTGCTTTCAATATTTTTTCTTTGTATTTAATTTTTGATAGTTTGATTAATATGTGTCTTGGCATGTTTCTCCTTGGATTTATCCTGTATGGGACTCTCTGTGCTTCCTGGACTTGATTATTTCCTTTCCCATATTAGGGAAGTTTTCAGTTATAATCTCTGCAAATATTTTCTCAGTGCCTTTCTTTTTCAAGTCTTCTTCTGGGACCCCAATAATTCGAATGTTGGTGCATTTAATGTTGTCCCAGAGGTCTCTGAGACTGTCCTCAATTCCTTTCATTCTTTTTTCTTTATTCTGTTCTGTGGTAGTTATTTCCACTATTTTGTCTTCCAGGTCACTTATCTGTTCTTATGCCTCAGTTTTTCTGCTATTGATTCCTTCTAGAGAATTTTTAATTTCATTTATTGTGCAGTTCATCATTGTTTGTTTGCTCTTTAGTTCTTCTAGGTCCTTGCTAATCGTTTCTTGTATTTTCTCCATTTTATTTCCAAGATTATGGATCATGTTTACTATCATTACTCTGAATTCTTCTTCAGGTAGACTGCCTATTTCCTCTTCATCTGTTTGGTCTGGTAGGTTTTTACCTTGGTCTTTCATCTGCTGCACATTTCTCTGTCTTCTCATTTTGCTTAACTTACTGTGTTTGGGGTCTCCTTTTCACAGCCTGCAGATCTGTAGTTCCCATTGTTTTTGGTGTCTGCCCCCAGTGAGTAAGGTTGGTTCAGTGGGTTGTGTAGGCTTCCTGGTGGAGGGTACTGGTGCCTGTGTTCTGGTGGATGAGGCTGGATCTTGTCTTTCTGGTGGGCAGGACCATGTCCG